TTGATAAAGCGCTTCATCACGTCTTCGAGACGTCTCAAAGCACTTCACAGAATATACTGTAAAGTGAATTGACTGTGTATTTTGTGGGCGAAACACAGCAGCCAATTGCGCACAGCAATGTCCCACAAACAGTCACGGATTGAGTCACCAAATTATTATTTTGTTTGAAGGATTGTTACTCCTGGAAAAGCGATCCACCAATTGACTAACAACCAGGCTCTACTTACTACCAGGTAAACAAGGCGTGTTGAGTAAGTAGACTTGCCCAAGGTTTCACCCTGCCTGGGAATTGGACCTGGGTCCTTTCGCTTGCGAGGCGAGGGCTCTAAACACTACACTACAGGTGTAACCCTGGTTCAGTCTCTGTCGGGATCTCACTTATTATGGATGAGAACTAACTCCTGAAAAATATCACATAGAGTTCTGATTAGCACTGAGAACCTGAGGCTTTGCGCACTAACTCTGAGCTCTCTCACCCCTGAATCAGAAGGTGATAATAATAATAATACTAATCCTTGCATGTCTTCGAGACATCTCAAAGCGCTTCACAGAATATGCTGTGATGAGTTCAAACCCCACTATTCTATATTCTTTTTCCATCATGTGTTGTCAGTCACTCCATCACTTGAGCTCTCTACTTTTATCACAATTTGTTTTCAAAACACACTGTCGCTACACTTTACCAAATATCCTGTGAAGCGCTTTGAGATATCTCAACGACCTGATGAGGCGCTATAGTAAATGCAGGGATTAGTAGTAGTAGTAGTATTCCAGGTACTCTATTAAATGCAAAGATAAATACAAGGATTATTATAAGTAACAGACTGAAATTCTGAGAAATTCTTATTCCTGAACAATTAGAGACCAAAATGGGAGAGTTAAATGGATGGCTGCATTTGGCCATTTCCCATCACCGAACTTTCTTATCGCCTGTTAAACCCACCGCTGGCTGACCTCTGAGGTTTTCTAGCTGTGGTGCAGCTCTGTGGAGACGAATGAGTCAGCATGAAGTTCAAGCGGAGTAAGAACGAAACTGTTCTCCTTCGCTGTCTTTCTTAGAAGTGTCACCACTGGCCTCAAACTGCACATTCCCCGAGCCCGTGGGGGTTTCCTATGTGACTGTGAGCGAGCAATCAGGCAGGCACTGACTTCTTGTCTTGTCACCATTTGTAAGGGTCTGCCTGTCACCACAGGTGAACAGATTCTTCCTGCAGATGAATCCAACATCAGTCTCCCTGTTGCAGGAAGCAACCAACAACTTGTATTTATGTAGAGCCTTTCATTGCTCAGTCGCGCTCACCTTTTACAAGTGCAATTGTTGTTGTTGTTGATGCGGGTAGAGTCTCAGAGCCCCAATCCCCTGCTTATCAATGGGGGCACGACAAGAAGCTACCCCGCATGAAGGGCGTTATATATAATACACATGCAAATTGTTGGTGGCACATGAGGCTAATGTGAGGCAGTTAAAGAATTTTTTGGATGCAGCTCAGAGTTCTGAGTCACTGTCATCTCATTTCTGTGGGTAATAATTCCTTCAAAAAAATATAATAATTTGGGTATCACTCAATCCACGACTGTTTGTGGGGACGCTGCTGTGCAAAATTGGCTGCCGCGTTTCGCCCACAAAATATACAGTCAATTGACTTTACAGTATATCCTGTGAAGCGCTTTGAGACGTCTCAAAGACATGATCAGGCGCGGTATCAGATGCAAAGATTATTTTTTTGTTTATTATTTAGGTGGGACTGAGCAACGGCCACAGAAGCTGCGGGGAGAGAATGAGGCCGGTCAAGCTCATCAGCTCCCCCGCCCCACAACCCTATTCCCATCCCCGTCAATCGCTTACACAGAAGCCTGGGAGTCAGCTGCGTTATCTAGGGGTGGTGCTTTGAGAAGCCGTCCGCCGTGACGGGCGCTATATAAATGCAGATCGTTGTTGGTGTTGGTGTTGGTGGTGTGTAGTGGTGAGAAGCCAAAGATAGTGGAAGCCCCAATGTGAGGTGCAAGGAGCAGCTGGTTGGGTGAGTGCATTGCAATCCAAAGGGAATAATCCAGATGAGATGTGGATCAGGCTGTTGCACCCACATCCGTAGCTAGATTCTGACCTCCAGAGGATTGGGTTTCATACCAGTGTTGTCGTCAAATGGCTCTAGGTGACCGCACACTGGTACTGTATTTCTCTGTACCCCGATTAATTTGTGGTGGGGGAGAGACAAATTCAACTCATTATCAGGGCACAATCCTGATCGCTGGCTATGCAGCCTTCTCAGGTAGAACTGTCAGTAGAAGCGGACAAATAATAAAAATAATGCTTGCATTTCATATAGCGCCTTATCATATTGAGCCGTCTCAGAGAGCTTCACAGAATAAACTGTAAAGCGAATTGACTGTGTATTTTGTGGGCAAAACCCGGCAGCCAATTACGCACAGCAGCGTTTCACAAACAGTCATGGACTGAGTGACCAAAGTGCAGGCAATAAAAGTCCAACAATAAAACGTAACTATTCCAAACTCCATACTACAGCAACACAGAATTGCCCACAAAACACACAGTCACACCACTTTACAGTTTCTCCTGTGAAGCGCCTTGAGACGTCTCGACGAGGTGATAAGGTGCAGCATGAAATGCAAGGATTATTATTATAACACGATTAAATGTTGCGGCGTCAAAATGGCTGAAGACACGACCGACCTGTGAAATGGGCTAACGTAGCAAAGCTTTGATATTGCAAAGTCTTTGAACTCTGCTGCCGGGCAGGTGCTGCGATCTACAAGGTTGATATCCAGATGGACTTTGCTGCTGGTGTCATCGCCCCCTTTGAATTTAAACACACTGTGTCCTTTGCCCGTCTGCGCTGCACCTCCATTGATATTCTGCTCCTGCAATCTCGCCTTGGCTTTATTCTGGGAAAGAGTTTTTAAATGAGAACAGCCTCGGGGTCAGCCCCAGGCAGTCAAGGTGGATCAATGAACATCTCTTTAATAGAATCAGCTGCCTCTCGATCTCCGGGCAGCACAGATTCGCTTCTATCAGGTTACAATGGTGCAGAAACAGCAGTAAATTAAGGACGGTTTTGATCTGTTCTCACCCATTCATTTCTGTGCCACAAACTCCTGTTTGGAGTAACTTGTTTTACTTATAACTTTTACACTAACACGCACTCTTTGATCTCTAGTGTCCAGGTAACATAACATCCTACTGTACTGTAAATGAACACTTCCAACAAGGCCTTTAATAAAGTATAGTACTAGATCAGAGATTTATTTTACTAACTGCCTGTGCTTACCAGGTGGTAAGACAACAGCGAATTTACATTTATATCGCGCTTCTCACGTCAGGTAGAAACTGTCTAAAGAAAGAAGCGAAAGCTGGAAATCCAGAGCTTGAAATGTGCAAAGGTTTGAATGAGGGGTGGGTTGGGGTTGGGGTTGGGGTTGTGGGGGGGGGGGAAGGGTGTAAATTGTGCTTAACTTCTCCCAGTTGCTTGTATAAAACATTGGTCTGGATTTAATAATAATAATAATAATCCTTGCATTTGATATAGCGCTTTTCACGTCGGGAGGACGTCCCAAAGCGCTTCACAGAACACACTGTAAAGTGAATTGACTGTATATTTGTGGGCGAACGCGGCAGCCAATTGCGCACAGCAATGTCCCACAAACAGTCGTGGATTGAAAATGACCAATTTATTATTGTTTTTGGTTTTGGAGGGATTATTTGAAGAGTCAATCATGGTAGCTAAATTTACAGAAAACTAGGAATTAGCAGTGGAATGAGACGAGGTAGCCAAGATCTTAGAAAGAGCTCAATAGGGTTTGCACTTGAGATGATGACTGGTACATAAAGACAAATGTAATACCATGTAGGATGGTACAGAACCTGACAAGGGGAAAGCTAAAGGAAATCTTAGAATAGTCAGTTGATGCCTCTATCACAATGTTCAATAAACAAGCAGTAATTGTTTCACTTATAACTTTTACACTAAATAACTCATAGATATCAAACACAAGTTGTTATGGATATAGTATTTCATGGCTGTTTGTGCGGAACATGGCAGTGCCAAAATAAAAGTAGCTCTTTTAGCCATTTAGCTCTTACAAAATAGCGCTTTAAGCGCTCTGGGACTCTACCCGGCGTGAGGGGCGCGATATAAACACAAGTTGTTGTTGTAGTATTACTTGTAATAACAATAATAATAATTTTCACGGGAATCAGAGAGGTGGACAGTGTCAGCATTGGAGCCACGAATTGGAAATGTCCTCCCGACTTCATAATTGCAACCGGTTAGAGGGGGTTAAAGGGTGAAACGAGACATTGATATTCAGAATATTTTTTCGGGTTGTTGGCATGCGGGACGACCCAAGCCCGCGGTCATTCTGGTAAGACGGTCGGCCCGTTACCCGAGCTGTTTGCGTGGAACGGGGAGGGCGGTGCCAAACATTTTAAAAAAAAGCTACCGCGTTTTGCTGACAAAATGCACAGTCACTACACCCAGTCAGGCGCTGCGGTGGGTTAATTGCCATTCATTCATTCATCGATGGCCACCAAGTGAACAACAAACACAGGGCGGCGCAGTTGCACCTCTCGGTCAGTAGGGGGCGAGGAAGCTTTGGGCGTCAATGTGGGCCGATTGGGGCGGGTTCACGCGCAATTGGGCGGTTTTTAAAAAAAAAGAGCGGGTGCCTAATTTTTAATTTAAACCTTCCAAACGTTTTTATTCCCCCCCCAACCACCCCTTTGAAGACCTTTTCCTGACGCACAAAGTTTCAAACGCACTGAAACTAAATTGGGGGCCACTCCCGGTGCTGCAATGCAAAATATTGGGCTACTTCGAGGCTACTATCGGGCGACTGAGGCGCAAAGCCGTTGCCATCTCCGGGTGAGGCTGTAATGGCGGACGCACGGCTGCAGGTGGCGCCCGCGGCGGTTGCTGTGGAATGGCGGCGGCCCAGCGGCAGGTGGCGCTGTTGTGGGAGGAGCGGAGGCCGGCGGCTGTCGGGCTGGGGGCCGGGCCGGGCCCCATCGTGTCCGCGCTCTGACTCCTTCGCAGCGGGCGGGCGGGAACCACCTCTGAGCGGCGGTTGGTACCGAGAAGCGGAGGCGCCGCGGCGGCCCCCGGCACCGGCGGCCGGAGATGTCCGGGAGGCTGGAGAAAGCAGGTGAGTGAGTGAGGGAGGGAGGGCGGGAGGGAGGGGGCGGGGAAGGGGGAGACGGCTGTCTGTGTGTGTGTGGCTGCCGACGCCCCCCTCCCCTTCGGGCCGCGGGAGAGGCCGAGGCTGTGTGTGAGGGGAGTGGGCCCGCGCGGCGCCTTCTCTCCCCGCCCCCCCAGTGAGGAGAGCCCCCCCCCCCCCCCCCGGCTGGCGGTCCGGTCCGCTGCGGGCGGTTGGCATTGCGGAGGGGGCGCGGGCGGGGCCGGGGAGTGCCCGCAGTGGGGCATCAGCTGCTGATAGAGGCCGCCAGGAGGCGCACTGAGCACTCCCCCCCCCCCCACCAGCCCCCAACCCTGTACCCCCCCCACCAGCCCTGTACCCCCCCACCAGCCCTGTACCCCCCCACCAGCCCTGTACCCCCCCACCAGCCCTGTACCCCCCCACCAGCCCTGTACCCCCCCACCAGCTCCCTGTACCCCCCCCACCAGCCCCCAACCCTGTACCCCCCCCCCCACCCCCCCCCCAGCCCTGTACCCCCCCACCAGCCCCCAGCCCTGCACCCCCCCCCCAGCCTGTACCCCCCCCCCCCAGCCCTGTACCCCCCCACCAGCCCTGTACCCCCCCCCAGCCTGCACCCCCCCACCAGCCCTGTACGCCCCCACCAGCCCTGTACCCCCCCCACCAGCCCTATACCCCCCCCAGTCCTGTACCCCCCCACCAGCCCTGTATCCCCCACCAGCCCTGTACGCCCCCCCCACCAGCCCTGTACCCCCCACCAGCCCCAGCCCTGTACTCACCCCCTCCCAGTCCCCGACCCTGTGCCGCCTCCCCGACCCTACACCGACCCCCCCCCAACCCTGTATCCCCTCCACCAACCCTATATCCCTCCATTCCTATAACCCTCCCAACCCTATATATCCCCATACTATAAACCCCCCCAATAACCCTATTATCTTCCCCCCAACCAAACCCTATAACCACCGCAACCACCTTATAAGCCCCCCCATCATCACTTATAATCTCTCCGCATACCATAATTTCCCCCAAAACCATACCCCGTTAACCTTCCTCCAACCAAACCTATAACCTTGCCTTCCCTATAACTCGCGCCCCACCCCCTCTCACCAACCCTACAGCCTCCCTCAAAGCTCCTCACCCCCCAACCCTATGAACCTTCCGATGCTTCCAATTCTAACGCCCCATTAACCCAACCCGAATGTACATTATGTCTGGGGATTGGGAAGAAATGGAGAATAATCTCAGTCAAGCGGACTTGATCCTCCAGCCTCAATAATAATAATAATAATAATAATAATCCTTGCATTTGATATAGCGCTTTTCACGTCGGGAGGACGTCCCAATGCGCTTCATAGAAGACACTGTAAAGTGAATTGACTGTATATTTGTGGGCGAACGCGGCAGCCAATTGCGCACAGCAATGTCCCACAAACAGTCGTAGATTGAAAATGACCAATTTATTATTGTTTTTGGTTTTGGAGGGAATATTATTAGGCTCTGTGTGGAGTAAGGAAACTTGCCCAAGGTTTCGCCCTCTGCCTGGAATTGAACTCAGGTCTCTCACTTGCAAAGCGAGTGCTCTAACCACTGAGCTACAGGACTCCACAATAACCAGAAGTGGAAGTGCTTGTGCACCACCAAAAATTCTGAGTATTGTGACCAAAATGGAATAACTGAGAGTTGGTCAGTTATTGTTGTTGTCTTTTTTTTTACTGGACAAGGAGTCCACATCAAAATTTGTCAGCTTTTTCCAGTGACTGAGTGAGTGTGGATGAGTGGGTGAATGTACATGTGAGTGTGTGTGTGAGTCTCATGTTAATGAAAGTATTTGGTTGATGACGGCTGCTGTATAAATGGAATCTTGTTGTTGTTGTTGCGTGAATGTTACTGTCTGTCTAACTCATCCTGATACTTTGAATACATTTTGCGTCATTGACGATGAGATTAAACCCAAGGCAGATCTAGTGTGTTTTTTTGAAGATGTGGCTGTGGATGTTGGAGCGGAGAGAGACGATCAGAACTGTTTCTGTAACCAAAGTATTTCCATACCGTCAAAGCGTTCTATTAAAGGGAAATAACAGCTGAAATATGGAGCTGTCCCATGGCGGGTTTAACTGGAATGTAAAAACTGATTTGATTCCATGACCGTACTTGCTGGGAGGGAGAAGAAAGAGGGTGGCATTACATATCTATCTTAATAAGCGTAATCAGTGACTTGAAACCCCAGTGATATCAGAGCTTTGCCAGGTTTGTGAACCAGGCCTTATCAGTGTTGTGTTTTGGTGGTCAATGTTTGTGTTAATCTTGCTGCCAGGAAGTCTGCAGACTTTACCAAACTGCTGTCTACTTCCCTCTGTTATCTCAGAATTGGGAACCTTGTGTAACCACTCAATGCACAAAGCACTCCTGATCACAGTTATAACCAGTGGATGACATTTCATGGCAAGCGGCTGGGTTATTGAATGCACCCGGCAGTCTTGACCAAGAGCATAGGGCCCAATGGTAGACGAATGGTTTTGCCCAAAGTAATCTATACTGTTCTATTTCAGCGTTTCAGTTTTAACCTTTGAAACAATCGCACCAGTGTTGAAAGCGAGCTTCCCACAGGATGGTTTAGTCTGTTCTCGAGTCTGAAGACTGTTCTTGGGGAGTATCAAATGAGGTATACACTGGATCAGTATCAGAAGACAAATTGCGTTGTTGAAAATCAGGCTGTGTCAGAATGAAAGCGTTAAGTGTTAAATTCGTGGTGGAATGCGCCGGTTCACTTCACCGGCCTCTCTTACTGAAGACTTAAGTGTAACAATAAGAAAATGGACCTTTAGGCTTGTTTAGGTCTTTAGGTTGTTTTGGGCGGTTTGGATGGATCCCTACAGCTGTTGAATCTGCAAGTGAGGGGCCTGGGATTATGCAGCCAGGGCTGGGAACCAAGGTTGCTCAAAGTGCTGTGGCGATGCTATAGCTATATTGCTGGTGGCTGAAGTGAAATGACTCAATTATTGAAGGTGTAAACACTGTATCAGGTCACCTTCTTATTCTTGACCAAATTCTGCATTTGACTTGTCATTAAAAAAATTGGAATAACTTCTGTGAATTGCACACAGGACTGTGCAAAGCAACAAAACTGGAGAGTTTCAAATAGTTAATTTGACAGTGAGAAACGCTGCACCTAATGAGGTAAAAAACTTGTCTGCTGCTGCCGTACATATGTTTAAGTTCTTTTCTCTCTTAAACATTTCCCCCCTCCCCTGTGTGCCATGTAATGTACCAACAAAAGGAAGATTTTTTTTAACAGTTATTAGGACATGGAATGCCCTAATTGGTGGTTGTAAAGCAGAATCCAGACTAGTTTTTAAAAGACAATTACAAGAATGTTTGAAAAGGAAAAAACATAAAGGCATATGGGGAAAGGGTGGTGGATTGGGACAAAATCAATAGCTCTTTAGACAGTCGACTCAGGCACAATAGACCGAACGACCACCTTCTGCGCTGTTAAATTCTGTGATTCCTGTTAAAAGGGCAACTGGGTTCACTGTTCTTTATGTGAGCTCTAACCAAGGATCAGAGAGGGAGAGAAGCTGTAACTTTTTTGAAAATAAATGCTCGAGATACAGTCCAGTAGTGTAGTGGTTAGCATGCGCGCATCGCAAGCGAGAGGACTCGTGTTTGATTACCGGGCAGGGCAAAACCTGAGGCATGTTTCCTTACTCCACCTCTGTTTACCTAGCAGTAAGTAGTCGATTGGCGGGAAAAAAATTCTGGTCACTCAATCCACGTGTGCAATTGGCATTTCTCCTACAAATATGCAGTCAATCCACTTTAAAATATATTCTGAGACGTCTCATTGGCTGATAAAGCACTATAATCAAATGTGAGGATTATTATTAAACGTGCTGAGTGGTGCAACAACAACAACAATATTTCATTTAGAGAGCGCCTTTCACGTCAGGAGGACGTCCCAAGGCGCTGCACAGTTGGGTCATGACCCGAGCAGGGGGGAAATGGTCAGGGTGAGGGGAGGGAAGGGAGGGAGCGAGGAGGGGGAAATGGTCAGGGTGAGGGGAGGGAGCGAGGAGGGGGTAGAGAGTCGAAAGGGGAGCTGAAGGCACGGTCAAAGAGAAAGGTCTTGAGACCGGCCTTGAAGGAGGAAAGGGAGGAGGCGGCGAAGGCACTGGGGGATGGAGTTCCAGAGCCTCGGGGCTGAGAGGCTGAAGGCCCGGCCACCGATGGTAGGGCGGTTGGGGCGGGGGATGTGGAGCAGACCGGAGCCAGAGGAACGGAGGGTACGGGCAGGTAGGTAGGGGGATAGTAGGTCGGAGAGGTAGGAGGGAGCGAGGCCGAGAATGGCCTTGTAGGTGAGGATGAGGATCTTGAATTCGATCCTCTGGGGGATGGGGAGCCAGTGGAGGGGAGCGAGGGTGGGAGTGATGTGGTCGCGGTGTCTGGTGCGGGACAGTACACGAGCTGCAGAGTTCTGAATGACCTGCAGTGTGGAGGGAGGGCCGGGAAGGCCGGCGAGGAGAGAGTTCCCATAGTCCAGCCTTGAGGTGATAAAGGCGTGAACCAGAGTTTCAGCCGCGTGAGGGGTGAGGTAGTGCCGTAGTCTGGCGATGTTCCGGAGGTGATGGAAGGCGGTGCCAGTTGTGGTGCGGATATGAGGAAGAAAGGACAGCTCAGGGTCGAACAGAACCCGAGGTTCCTGATGGCTTTGAGAGGTGGAGAGTGCAGCCTTGGATGCTGATGCTGTCAGCGCCTGAGGTGCGGAGGCGCTGACGTGAGCCAATCAGGAGGGCCTCAGTTTTGCGCACGTTGAGCTGAAGAAAGTTGTCTCTCGTCCAGGACTCGATGTCGGACAGGCAGCTGTCAGGACATCGGTGGTCGTGGAGTTGAGGGTAGAAGAGGAAAGGTAGAGTTGGGTGTCATCCGCATACATGTGGAAGTTAACCCCATGTCTGCGGATGATGTCACCAAGGGGGAGCATATAGAGGGTG